CCTATTGTTACATCAATTAACTCCCCAGCTATCAGCCGTACCCAGGGACGCTTCCCTGAACCTAACCTGTTCCCATAGTATTACCTGACAGTATCTAAAAACAACCCACCAAGCTTAATTTACCAATTTGTGATCTTGACAGATTGTTGCAGGTCCTGCTTGGGTACCGTGCAGGTAGCACAGGTACCTAAGTCCTCGTTGACCCAAATTGGTTACTGGCGACTTATAGCTATATACTTTTATGTAATATTCGTGACGGTGAAGTTTCAAATACAGAAAGGCGTCGACAAGTATTTATATAGTTTCAATGTATAGTTTGTTGGAGTCACAATGTGGTTGATATACTGCCGATGTGAGCTCATATTCTAAGCCACTCAATCAATGACATGTGGAAGTACATGTCACTCACAAACGGAAATACATCATAATTCAAAAGTTTAAATAAATGAACTATGTTGTGAAATTCTGGTCAATCTGAACAGGGAAGGGAATGCTGATGTTCTAGGATTTCGGGTAAAAATTGATAACACACAGCTCGTGCTAGTTGTGTGAGACGACTTAAAGTATCGGGTGGTCGGCCTCAGTAACATTGTTTGCGTGTCATTGTATCCTGTGACGGCGTGGATCTCTTCTCACAATACCGACGGTCACTGGACTGACCCGTCCACACTCGATTATTTACAGGCTGTCGTCCAATAAGTGGAATATTGCTTGAGTTAAGGAAAAATCATACAGTACAAACTTCGTTCTGAACTCAAAGTTGAGAAATGACTTAGTACATTAAAATTTCTTTTCAATATTTGAGTCAATAATGACCACCTTTCAAATACGAAAATAATTAAAAACGCGTTTATGTGGAGATCAAATTAATAAAATTTGAAGCCAAAGTGGTTTTGATATCAGGACCGACAAAAGCGATCCTTGGTTTATCTGGTGTCTTGGTATACATTCCAAATTGCAAATTCCAACAATGCCACCTTAGGGTTCCCTTCAGTTGGAAGGATTGGTCACAACGGTGTCAATTTCCAACTTCTCATCCTACATCGTTCTGGAAAAGACCACAGATTCCATCAGAGTTTATGTACATGGTAACAAGTACCCGGATCTTTACGGGTTGATTGTGTAAGGCAAACCAGAGGTTTCACTGCTTGAGTAACGACCCACATGCCATTAGCGGACGATTACACTAAGATGTAAAAAGGGTAGTAGCGAAATATATCTTAGCCCAGTCTATTCTCAAAGCTGTCTCAGCGCAAAGATATCTTATGATAATGGCGGGGTCGCATCTATCTTAGGAACGTACGACACGTACAATGACGACCAAAAGACGTCATGTTGAAGAAATGATTCGACAGAATGGGTCTACTGTCATTTCTGACCACAAAATCAAGTGTTAACACCGCTGAAACATCATAACTATGCCTAACAGTGATAGCACATTACAGCTTAACAATCATTCCATACAAAATGTAACGTGAAACATTATACCCTATTCGTTTATTTCGGCTGAAACACTAGCATTGTATTTGCATTCTATCTCTCAATTACCCTGACTTTTTCTTGTCAAGAGCAGTTAATTTATATGAAGAGTGAGAGTGGTTTTCCTTTAACTACAACGTGTGAAATATAAGGCGTCTAACGGAATGACCACCTTGTCGATAATAAATGTATAGCTGTATGTATAGCTTGATGCCATCTGTTTGAAAATCATGTAATCCATGAACGAATATTCAAGTCCGAATGGCAATTTCTTTTTTTTCAGTGCCGTGTATTCCCATTACATTCCTTCCCAAATTATCAATTTTGATGCCTCTCCTTCATATGCTTTTCATGTAATTGTGAAAATCGTCAACATGCCAAACAAATGAAAAGGAAAAAACATATTGCTCTCTGGGAGCGTAGCATAAACCACGTCGCAGTTGTACTTTATCTATTCATTGTTATATTTTCAGAATATTGTAGAATTTAGACTAGTTGTTGTTGGAGCTGAACAACGTTGTCTCTAAGGATAAGCAGTGCATGGCTATCCTCCTGGCTTTGCTTACAACGTTTATATTTCGGTTGTAGGTGTATAATTAAACCGAATGAAAAGAGCGCCTTTAAATGTGAGACTCCGTAAACACAATGTTATTATTACGACATACTTGCCACATCCAGCAAAGTCACTGCTACTCAGTTACGCTTATTTTCTGTACATCACATTTTCGTTTTCCTCCGGAATAATCCTTTCCAATTCTAATAATCTGCAATGCTTACAATATCTATCTATAAAGGACATCACCTTCATTGATCAATTGCACATAACAATAAGGAGAGGCAACAACATATATCTTCAATGGGGTTTAATTGTTTATCTTTAAACGTAATATTATATTTGATAATTGTAAATCATTTCAATCTAGGGAATTCCCTGAATAATCGGAGACGTCATTGGGAAACACCCTGCTTAATTTACCTCCGTCACAAAATAGCTCACTGTTGTAAGAAAGTTGCGACAGTTGTAAGACAGCTTGGAGAACAGCTCTAGCGGCAGTCGTAAGTCGCCAAAAGGTTGTTTTAGCTATGATAGTTTCGTCAATAGGACGCCTAGGTCACAAATTTCGACGGATCCATGGTATTGTCAATTATTTTGACAACATGGTGTTCTGAAGGCCATATTCTGTCACACGATCAGTCAGTGAATCAGAGGCGGGCATGGTACGCACACGTAAACAATTAAAGGGTGAAAATGAAGTCTCCTAAATGTAACAGTTACAACTAAACTTGCAGCTGTTCCTGTGAAAATAATTAACACCAATTTAGCATTCTTGTTATTATATAACAATAAGATAAGTTCATATAGCCGTTTCCCTTTATAGGCTACAGAAGAACTGATGAATCTAATTGAGAAAAATACATTGAGGTTTTCATTTCAGATGCGACTGAATAGGTAATTAGGGTGTCACTGTTCCTTGAACGCATATTTCATTCCTTATAATATCCATCACTGGTTTGTCTGGTCCGGTCTCATATATTTACCGGTTGCCATCATATAGATGGAATAGAGATGATTTGGCATTAACCACAAATAAACGATCGTCGAGGGAATATGTCTTACCTGTTTCTGGTCCTGTCTTTGTTTAAACGTTAGCACACTACTTGGTGTGTCATTTTGATGGAGGTAAACCCCAAAGTGACGCAGGTCTGTTTCAGACGATTACCACTAAGCACAGATATGGTTTCTTTAAATAATTCGTTATCTTCATTTATTTAAATATATTTCTTAAAATTATCTGTTGTATTTTAATGTCCCTGTCTTACTTCTTAGCATATATATACTTTGTACTTTATAGTTCGTTATCTTCTTTTATTTATATATAACTCTTAAAATTATTTGTTGTATTTAAAGTCCCTATCTTACTTCTTAGCATATATTATGTGTACTGTATGCATTTCATTAATTTAAATATCTATCACAGGTTCATGTGTATGCACCTTTAATGTTTGTTGTATATTTGTCACGTGTTGTTTTTTCTTAACATTTGATTGTCATGATCTGTGATGTACAAATTCCTGAAAAGGTTATAAATTATTATTATTATTTACAGATTAAAATTAAAAAAATGCAATTTTGTCAATCACAATAGTGTCAAAAGGGACAGAAAATTCAATGATATAAATGATTTCATTGGATTTATCAAAAAGGACAAGATCAGGTTTGTTTGCCTGTTCACTTTTCAGGCCAGCCGACCACACCAAAGCGAAGGACTCTGCAGAGTTGCTTACCTTCTCATCACACTGCACATAAACTCGATGCAGTGGTCGTCCAGATAGCCTCTCGTTGAAAAACTGAGTCAGGGCCGAGTTGATATGGCACTTCGCTTGGTTGACACTCATTTCTGTACCGTTCAGCAGTACAGAACAATCAACATAATCAGCACTGACATTGAGATTAAGTCCCACATCCTCGGCTCATTTTAGAAAACTGTGGAATGCATTGTTTTCATCATGAGTCTTGACATGCTTCACAAGAGGATCATCAGACAAATAAATGTGTGCAAAAGTGCAAAAAACAATTCTATCATGAAGAGCCTTTGTCATTATTATTATTATTTACAGATTAAAATAAAAAATGCAGCAAAGAGGGTTTGGGTGATCCTGGCACAGTCAGGCTGGTCAGGCTCATCATCAGCTCAGGGTCCTTGCCCCCTATACGCGCAGCCCAGACTTCTCCCAGGAAGCGCTGCCTAGTCAAACCCACCCAGAACTTTTCGGAGAATGTGAAGAATCCCCAACACTGCAGCCTCCTGCATTACCCAGATTGTCAGAAGGACTGTATTCCTGAAAGCAAACCCGGGTACTCTCCCAATGTCAGTCAACAGATTGGGAGGTACCAAACCTAAGGCACCGAGAACAACTGGGAGTCGAACAACTTTGTACTTTGGATGCAAGCGTGACATTTCTAAAGGACAAGATCAGGTTTGTTGGCCTGGATACGTCTGAGGCTGTAAATGGGCCTATTCCAAAGAATTTTGTATTGATCATTTTCCATGACGCCCTCTACATATTCCGGGTCGTACCATGGGTGGGCCTCTGTGTCAAAACCACAAGCATGGCGAAGACGGTAATAAAATGATCGAGGTACACCATCATGTCATTTAAGATACTGTGTTTGTGCCAAAGCTGGGCATCCACTGACAATGTGTTGGACAGTCTAATTAAATTCATTACATAATCTACATTTCATATTTACATTTTGATGCAAAATCACACATTTACGGTTTCGAGTGGGAAGCGACTGGTCCTGAGATTATTATTATTATTATTATTATTATTGAGACACAGTTACGGTTTGAAAATGGAAAATATCATGGAATGGTTTTGCTTTGACAAGCTACTGAGCTGACATAATTATTTCAGTATTATCTGGCTCATAGTATTATCTGGTTGCTTTTGGCAACACATTTGAAATTCCCACAGTATACCTACACCAGAAAAGGATTGTCATGCTTTGTACTTTGACAGCTTGTTAAAGCGAACATTCACGTGTTCCGTCATATTAAGATAGCAGTTGGTTTTAGCACAGCAGACAAATTGACGAAAATGTCTGTGGCCGTTGTGTTTTTGTGCAATTTCCTAATTGGGACGCTATCAGGGCTCATTTTGCCGATGACCAAGGTTGATGGCAGCGCCGATATATCCAGCATCATAAACCACGTCGCCTCGCTTGAACACACTGTGACTGGTCTGCAGACGACGACTGGGCAGCTGAAAACAGATCTACAGACCAGTAGGGCACTACAGCAGTCAGCAAATAGGGAAATTGCCTATTTAAAAGATGAAGTGGCATCTTTGAAGGCAGATCTCAGGTTATCGACAGAAGAACTGAACATTGTGAAGGCGGAACTTAAGGATGTCAAGCAGGGCAATGGTAATTTTCAGTTGAACCAAACGGGGCTGGATTCTATCGGTCTTGTTTTGGCGTCTAACATGGCACAAGTGAATACAGTGCAGTCAGAGGTCAAGATGTTTAGTAATCAACTGAAACTTGTAAACTCAACGTTGTATGATGTAAAGAGAGAAGCAGATGGATTTATTCAAAAGGCATCGCCAGTATTCCAGTTAATTGCACAAAGTCAGTTGATAGAAAACATTAAATCTGCAAAGGTTCTGGCACAGAATACGTCTAACCAAATAGCACAGCTTGCGCAAGACATGAACACAACTACAGCAAACATGCTGAATGTCACACATGTTCTCCAGTCAGTCAATGCAGGTCTACAAACTGTGAAGAATAATCTCAATCTTACAAGCTCAGACGTCACGACTTTGAAAACTGACATGGCAGATGAAAAGAAGCAAACTATTGACAATAAGCAGTCCTTGATACAGATTTCTCAGACAGTGCAGTCTTTAATGGGAGATGTGAGCACAAATACAGGAAACATGCTAAGTGTGACGCATGATCTACAGTCAGTCAATGCAGATCTACAAACTGTGAAGAGTAACCTCAATCTAACAAACTCGGACGTCACAGCTTTGAAAACTGACATGGCAGGTGAAAAGAAGCAAACTATTGACAACAAGAAGTCGCTGACACAGATTTCACACACGATACACTCTTTTATGGGAGATCTGAAAACAAACATAGGAAACATGCTAAATGTCACAAATGATCTGCAGTCAGTCAATGCAGATCTACAAACTGTGAAGAGTAATCTCAGTCTTACAAGCTCAGACGTCACAACTTTGAAAACTGACATGGCAGGTGAAAAGAAGCAAACTATTGACAACAAGAAGTCGCTGACACAGATGTCTCAGACGATGCAGTCTTTCACGGGAGATCTGCGCACTATACAAAACAATCTCGGTTTGACAAGTTCGGATGTCAGGAATTTGAAAATAAATATGTCTACTATAGCGGGACAGATCTCAAGCTTTCGGTAAGATGCCATTGTTGCTGTTCATATGTCTTAAGATAAACTGTGTTGGACAGACATCCATGATAACAATATTGTTAGTGATTGTTAGTTAAACATGTACAATCCAAATAGAATATCAAAGTTAATAAATAAGTAATCACTGAAGACGTGAAACATCACTATGGATAAAACTTTAAGAGTTGAGGTGAGGTGAAATTGGGTTTTAACGTCGCGTCCAAGATTATTGCACTTCCATAGCGACGTGCATGCACGTGTGTGTGTTTGTGTGGCTGCTTGTACTAGTCCGGACTGATGCCGATTTATAGTGCTAGCCCACTGAGATACCATGCCCTAGTTTAACATGAATACCCCACTCAGACACAGTATACGGACTCCGAGCCGACCAGTCCTTGTTTTAGCCCCTTAATGCCGAGCGCCAAACAGGGTAACAACAAGTACCATCTTGTAACGTCTTTTGGTATGACGCGGCCGGGGATCGAACCCCGGACCTTCCGCTTTCAGGGCGGACGCTCTACCACTAGACCACGGAGGCGGTCCGATAAAACTTTTAAGAACAACTTTCAACAAACATGTTCACATCTTATCTGTGTCCTATTGCGTGGTGGTACGATGTCCTGTGTGTACGCACAGGTCACAACGTTGCATAGATCAGTTGGGTGGGTTTTTCTTGGCCTTCGGTCTGCCCCACACTGAAGCACATGTAACACAATGTCTCCACTCGGGAGTGACATGTCTCTGAGAACATTGATCCACTGACAAGGCAAATAATAATGTTGCGCAATGGTGGGGAATATAATCTGGCGCATTGTAAATTAAATAAACACATTTCCAAACATCATTTGACGTGACACCATGTTTCATCCATATCCTTGATGCCTTCCTTCTTTCTTTTCAGTCGAGAACCAAAAACACCAAATATAGCATTCAACGTTTATCACCCAACAGACCAGGTACCTGGAGCAGACATTATCTTTGACTTCAGTCTTTACAATGCTGGCTCATGCTACAACACGAGTACAGGGAAGTTCACTGCACCAGTCTCTGGAACATACATGTTCTGGACACAGCTGGTGCTGACTGAATCCGACTCTAATACGTATATGTACATCATGAAGACTGGCGGGTGGATGGCGATGGACACAGATATCAAGGACAATCATGCTTCTATTATGGTTATCAATCATGTATTCAAGGGCAATGATGTATGGGTGACAACGTCAAGCTCCCACAACATCGCTAAGCCATTTCCGTCCTCACATTTTGGTGGAGTGCTATTGTCAGTGGACTAACATTTGTCTGGAAGAGGGCCTGTACTAGAATTTACTTAGTAAAGACGGTCAACCTTACTTCATGTCCTTATTCCTGTATCTGATGTATGTTCTTGCAGTGTCTTGACAATCCAACTCTTCACACGTCTAGATTAGCAGACATGTATACTACTCAAAGAAGTGAGAATATCCGATTATTTAATTTTACTACAGTCGATCTGTCTCTTTAACTTATTTTGAGTAGTTTATACCCACTCAGCCGAAAAAACTACTATATGTTCTACATTTTCTCTGAGATCACCAGGCCTTTGAAATGGCAACATGGCTAATCTCTATACAACAGTTTACTGAATCTCAATCCAATATTAGAGATGGCTACGGCATTTAACATGCGAGTAATACTTAAAGTGAAAGTAGCAAAATGGTTTAGGCATCCAATGAAAGGTTGTTGTTTTTTAACGGACCATTCAGCTTAAACTCATGTGGAACTAACGAGAAAACATTACACCCGATCTCCAAACACGTATGCGTAATAACAATGGATATTCCGTGCTTGTGGAACGTTAAGTTACTTATAAAAAAAACTGGTTACACGATGTCGAGTTTGTGTGTGCATGTCTTAAAACATGGAAAACAGATCTATACAGGGACATTTAATGCTTTTGAAACAGAAAACACCTGACAGATTGTGAATGGGGAACAGTGGTAGGGCTTGGCCAGAATTCACCGGTTGGAGATCCACCTTCATCTAAGTCAGTAGGATCCTAACGTCAGCAACGTACCAATTAATACACACGACTTCCCAGTACAAAGGCTTGCTTGCTTCGTGACGTTCAAGGAAATCTGTTGCATCAAAACATTTTAAACATGTTAAATAGGCATACAGTGTACATATTTACACCACCAAAAAGGTGTATGTGGTTTCATTGTTATCTAAATAGAAATAACAACTGCCAAGATCACACGACCAGCGCGAATGCATATCGACAAACCGGCTACAGACTGAGCTGTAGCCGTGACGTCATAGTCGAGAGACGCCCGACAATTTTTCTTTGTTTACAGTGCATTAATGTACATGACAATGAAGTGATTTCCCCTTATCGGTGTATTAAAGACGCGAAATGGGGTGCTGGCTTGGTGCGGGTATACTATTTCATCAAGCAAAAGTACCAGGTGTATTTTCTTCAAATTTCAAAGCTAAAAGGCCGTTTTGGCAAGGAGGAAGGTTTGGATACAGCAATCAACGGAAGCAAGCGGTGGATTTTTGCGTTCTTTACATGTTGATGCATATGCCTATGAGAGAAATCAAGACAAACTAAAGGAACTTTTTTCATATAAAAACAGAATAACTGATATCAATGAAGAGTTAGAAAATATATCATGTTCAATGTTTTGCCTTGGGAATTCATTTCAGGTAAATGACAATGTGAAAACAGTGTCTAAGTGTCTGTTTTATTGGATACATGTGTCTTATTGGACATATGTTTATTGTGGACAATGAGGTAAGAGGTGGATCCACGGCTTGTCAAATGGGTTAGACAAGAGTGAATGTGATGTACATGTGTTACTTTAGCCTGTAAACATTTACACGGCGTTAAAATATCCAGCTCTAACCAAAATTGTTCGTGGTGAATATGGTAGATATTCAATCTATATTTTTGCTTTCAAAAGCTGCATCAAATATTGGTAAAAACTGTTAAACAGGCCAACTAAACTCGTTTCACAAGAAAATGTTACAATTTATTATTATTAGCTGCAAGTTATGGTAAAGTTAATTGGTTATCGAAAATGAAGATGTATTTGTATAACATGGGGTTTGGGTATAGATGGGAACGACAGTAGCATATTGGTAGCATAGATTCTATTAAATCAGTGAGAAGGCTGAGATAGATACTACATTGGTGTGGAAAGTGTGCTAAACGATTTTGGTTGGTTGGTTTGTTCTTTAACGCCGCACTCAGCAATATTCCAGCAATATTCCAGTACATAGTCGTGTCTGGACCAGACAATCCAGTGATTAATATCATGAGCATCGATCCACGCAATTGGGATCGATGACATGCATCAACCAAGTCAGCGAGCCTGACCACCCGATCCCGTTAGTCGCCTTTTACGACAAGCATAGTCACCTTTTACGGCAAGCATGGGTTGCTGAAGACCTATTCTACCCCGGAATTATGCTAAACGAAGAGTCCATTGTTCGATTCCGACTATATCATAAGTCTATTAATCATACAAGGTGGTCGTTTAAAGGCCGTTCCGGTGATTGCACATGTCTATGACGTAATCGGCTGGTGGCGATGTCTCTTGTCACCAGTGATGCTCAGAGCTGACACGAAGCACTCCCTAATGCATTGAGTCGTATCTGATCATCCTTACCTTCTGTGTAGTTTTGTGTTTACAACGACAATGCAACATCTTCCAGGGTGTGTTCCTTTGTCATTGTCATGTCTGTTGTCTATTGTGTAGCGTAATTACAACCAATGTCTTACATTAAACGATGGCGAGTGGGTATCCAACTTGTAAATGAATGTTACCAAAATATGAACTATTCACAGTCACTATTCATTCGAGTCCTTATTTTTCCAATATGCAATGTTTAGTGAGAATATATCGTTGCAAATAGTCGTCTTGCAGACGATTATTATACGATCATTGTCGCCAACAACTGAAAGCTTTTCATTGCAACGTCACGCCGAAGATTCAGGTTCGATTCCCGACATGGGTACAATGTGTGAAGCCCATTTCTGGTGGCCCCCGTCGTGCTATTGCTGGAAGTTTGCTAAAAGTGGCGTAAAACCATACTTACTCACCCACTCAAACACATGACTAAGTTATCCTGAATATATATATATATTTGTATGACTCACTTTGGTTTTAATAACTTACCTTTCTCTAATATAGTGTTTGCCAGTACTGGTGCTGGTCACTCAGTGCTCCCCGCCAGCAGCCACGTGTATTCACGCCACAGAAGGAACTATCAATGAGACTGTCCTCATGTGTGCACGAGCACGTACGGAACGTGTAGGTTAGATGACATTATATTTGTCTCTTAAAGCAAACTTTAAGTCAAGGTTCGCCAAAGGTAACTACCTCTACTGTCATAATGAAATGAGCTTTCCATTGACTCAGAAACTGGCAATACACACACGCAAACAATTAATGGATGAAATAAATGAATGAAGTATATCAAAAATTGCTCCTTATAAATGACAATGATACAAGAACGTACTTACATCTGTTCTTCTGATAACAATGAACAGCAATGTAGCAATCTTGTTATCAGATAGGAATAAGGTCCTATTCAGAAACCATAGAATGTAAATGAGTGTGTCATCGAAGAATATGCCACAATAGCCTTACCCAACAGATACTTTTCCTGTGAAACCCACGAGCACAGATATAGTTCTGGCAAATCTAGAAACATAATCAGGGAAAATCTGGGATTCGAACTCACATCATAGGTTTCTGGTATGAATACGGAACAGCCAATTGCAGCGCATTAGACGATCAGGCCACTTGTGACCCCACACAGTCAGGGCCACGGTTATGTTTAAAAGAGGAAAAAGCATATCAGAATCGCCTTGAGTTTACATTCTTTTGAGCAAAGAAATATCTTTCTGCTATCTGGTTCACAGTGGCTTCTTAGCACATGTTAATCTCACAGTACACCTATGCCAAAATAGGAGCTTCATGCTTTGCACTTTGACATCAAGGACATAACTTTGACACGTGATCTCTTACATTTTGATAGCAGTTGAATTTAGCATTGCAGACCAACGAACGAAAATGTCTGTGGCTGTTTTGTTTCTGTACACTTGTCTCACTGGGACGCTATCAGGGCATGTTTTGCCGATGACCAAGCTTGATGGCAGCGCCGATATATCCAGCATCATAAACCACGTCGCCTCGCTTGAACACACTGTGACTGGTCTGCAGACGACGACTGGGCAGCTGAAAACAGATCTACAGACCAGTAGGGCACTACAACAGGCAGCAAATAGGGAAATTGCCTCTCTAAAAGATGAAGTGGCGTCTTTGAAGGCAGATCTCAGGTTATCGACAGAAGAACTGAACATTGTGAAGGCGGAACTTAAGGATGTCAAGCAGGGCAATGGTAATTTTCAGTTGAACCAAACGGGGCTGGATTCTACAAGTGTTGGTTTGGCGTTTGATACTCCACAAGTAAATACAGTGCAGTCAGATATCAGGATGTTAAGTAATCAACTGAAGCTTGTAAACTCAACGTTGAATGATGTAAAGAGAGAAGCAGATGGATTTATTCAAAGTTCCGCGCCAATACTACAGTTAATTGCACAAAATCAGTTGACAGAAAACATTAAATCTGCAAAGGTTCTGGCACAGAATACGTCTAACCAAATTGCACAGCTTGCGCAAGACATGAACACAACTACAGCAAACATGCTGAGTGTCACACGTGATCTACAAACTGTTAAGAAACATCTCAGTCTTACAAGCGCGGGCGTAACAACTTTGAAAACTGACATGGCAGTTGAACAGAAGCAAACTATTGACAACAAGCAGTCCCTGACACAGATTTCTCAGACGATGCTGTCTTTAATGGGAGATCTGAACACAACCAAAGGAAACATGCTTAATGTCACTCATGATCTGCAGTCAGTCAGTGCAGATCTACAAACTGTGAAGAATAATCTCAGTCTGACAAACTCGGACATCACAGCTTTGAAAAGTGACATGGCAGATGAAAAGAAACAATCTTTTGACAACAAGCAGTCGCTGAAACAGATTTCTCAGACAGTGCAGTCTTTAATTGGAGATGTGAACACAACTAAAGGAAACATGCTGACTGTGACACATGATCTACAGTCAGTTAATGCAGATCTTCACACTGTGGAGAGAAATCTCAGTCTGACAAACTCGGACGTCACAGCTTTGAAAATAGACATGGCAGATGAAAAGAAACAATCTTTTGACAACAAGCAGTCGCTGAAACAGATTTCTCAGACAGTGCAGTCTTTAATTGGAGATGTGAGCACAAATACAGGACATATTCTGAATGTCACTCATGATCTGCAGTCAGTCAGTGCAGATCTACAAACTGTGGAGAGAAATCTCAGTCTTACAAGTGCAGACGTCACAGCTTTGAAAAGTGACATGGCAGGTGAAAAGAAGCAATCTTTTGACAATAAGCAGTCGCTGACACATATTTCACACATGATTCAGTCTTTAATGGGAGATTTGAGCACAAATACGGGAAATATTCTGAATGTCACTCATGATCTGCAGTCAGTCAATGCAGATCTACAAACTGTGAAGAATAATCTCAGTCTGACAAACTCGGACATCACAGCTTTGAAAAGTGACATGGCAGGTGAAAAGAAGCAATCTTTTGACAATAAGCAGTCGCTTACACAGATTTCTCAGACAGTGCAGTCTTTAATGGAAGATCTGAACACAACTAAAGGAAACATGCTTAATGTCACTCATGATCTGCAGTCAGTCAATGCAGATCTAGAAACTGTGGAGAGAAATCTCAGTCTTACAAGCGTAGACGTCAGCAGTTTGGAAAGAAACATATCTACTGTGGAAGAACAGATCTCAAGCTTTCGGTAAGATGCCGGGTTTGCTGTATACATGGTTTACGTAAGAATTAGTGTTTGGACAGGCTTCCACGATAATAGTATTGGTAGTGAATGTCATTTAAACATTTACTGTCAAAGTAGAACGGCACATTGTTAATGTGTGAGTACGCACTGTCCTTTTGTCATAGAGACACTATTGCATTACATGAAAAATCACTATGGATAATAACTTCAGTGAAATTAATCTTAATAACATTTTCAACAAGTAGTTATACATCTCTTTTGTGTCTGTGGCTGATATTTTATGTAGCCTTTGATAACATCTTTTTGTGACTGTTCTTAATCTGTTCAAAGTAACTATATGGCTGAAATAATGCCGATCCGACTCACTCACTAATATGTTCATGCTGGAATATTCTCAACTGGTTCTCACCGTAAATAGGTGGACAAGTTCTGATGCGATGTAAATCAATATTTTTTTCATTCATTATCATCACGTGCCACATGTGATCCTGAGTACAACGTACACGTAAAGAAATCTGGTGAAGCAACGTTGGTCGCGAAGAATGAGTTGGATGACCAACAGAGTTCGGCCACTTGACTCCTGAGAGTTTCTAGCACATGTGGTGTCTCCTTTGTCAAGTCACTTAGAAAATGTCTTTGTTAACCCAGCAGTGAATGTGTCCCTGCTAGGATTAGATGGTAATGTCACCATCGCCTTCTAGCTCCTCGCGGGCGACTTTGGTGATGTATTCCCTGGGAAGCTGAGAATGAGTGCCACCAATCCATTGACCGGGTGAATGGAATCCATTATTAATGGACTTGTCGTATTATAATTATTAGCAACATATACCCGAACTGTTCACAAAAAAACTTTCATTAAACTCGTTGATGCAAGCTTTCTTTCCTTTCAGTCCAGAACCAAAGACTATTGCATTCAACGTTCATAGCCCTACAATCAAGGCACCTGGAGACCTCCTGTTATTTGATCACGTTTTCTACAATGCTGGGTCGTGCTACAACACGAGTACAGGGAAGTTCACTGCACCAGTCTCTGGAACATACATGTTCTGGACACAACTGGTACTGATTGAATCCAAGTCTCAAACGTTCATTTACCTCATGAAGACTGACGGGTGGATGGCGATGGACACAGATGTCAAGGATTACCATGCCTCTATTGTTGTTATCGATCATGTTAACAAGGGCAGTGATGTATGGGTGGAGGCGGCAAGGTCCCACAACATCACTATGAGAGTTCCGTCATCACGCTTTGGTGGAGTGCTATTGTCAGTGGACTAACCTTCTGAAAAAGAACCTGTACCAGAATAGAGTCAGTAAAGACGGTCCAATTTCCTCACGTCATGTCTTACATTATCAGATTTTTTTTAACAGTAAATGTCTTGATAACAGTTCACACGTTTAGATCATCGGAGTCCATTGCAGCTCACATTCATCTCCATCCGGCCGATCAAATGACATAAAACAGCCATAACGTTTCAAAGAAATTACCAGGCCCATGAAGCTGCAACATGTGTGCTCTCTCTCCAATAACTTTCGGAATGTCAATTCAATCTTAGACATGACTACCATTTTGAAAAGTCATTTCGGCATATCACATCCTCGGAACGTTCAGGCAACAAACAGATTGTACGTTTAATAAGACTTGGTTAATATGAATGCACGCGTAATGGGTAAGATTATTTTGAGAAAAATGTGCGTATAATACGTAAAATGTCGAAGTATTCCAGGGCTAATACCTTAAGGAGATCAAGTGCACACACAATATCATATCTGACACTAAAAAAACCCGACCCTTCCATGATACGACCCAGATTATGTAGAGGGCGTCATGGAAAATGACAAATACAAAATTCTTTGGAATAGGCCCGTATACAGCCTCAGACCTATCCAGGCCAAAAATAACCCTTCTCTGTCCGTTTTGAGAAATCCCATGAAATCATTTATATCATTGAATTGTATGTCCCTTTTGACACTAATGTGATTGACAATATTGTGTAAAAACTTTATTGTGTATACTTTTTTATATATTACAGGGCATGATACCTATTGCTGCTGCCACATCACATTTGACTCATCATATTGCTTGTCTTTGGCTGCAAACAGTATTCATTGGTCTTGTGTGGTCAGTTACTGATTTCACAATTCAGTTATGTACATACCGATTTCTGGATAAAATTTTGCATTTCCATTTGGCTTAAACAGTTTAATGGAAATTATATGAATGGATTACTAAAATAGGTTTACACCATGTGTTCTCAAAGGGTAAATCCTTTGTCCTGTTGTATCGCTATGTCCAGCATAAAACAACATCCAATCAATCACAACGAATATAGTTTGTAGATGTGCTATTATAACACATTCATTTCTCAGATTGCAGGCAGTCGTGACTCAACTGGCGTATTGTCAACTGTGTCGGAACACTCACACTCACTCGTGGCTTTTCAGCATTAAACGCCGAGAAACACACACCAATGACTTACCGATATTTGGCACATGGTCATTGGTGGAGGCGCACCTGCCTGTTTTGTATTACACTGACAGAGAATAATCAGCGTTTCGCTTGTAAGATCATATTGTCCCCAAACATTTTGCAGACACATAAACGAACCCCTTCATACGAGTGTGCCATAACACCAACTACAATTGGTGAACACAAATAAGAAAAATTGTGAGTGAGTTGTGTTTAACGCCGCTTTTAACAGTATTCCAGTTATATCGCGGCGTGTCAGCGTGAACGCCCGAAGTGATGCAGGTCTTAGACGTTTACCACTTCGGTGAAACCCACGAGCACGGGTATGGTGCTGACAAACCTAGAAACATCATGAGCACAATGGGATCGATGACATGCATCAACCAAGTCATCGAGCCTGACCACCCGATCCCGTTAGTCGGGAAGTATATAATAATAAAAAGCACTATATCATTGGAATGGATACATAATTTTCATTAAATGGTAAGAGAACAACCTTTGCAGTTATATCCCTTGTGTCAAAAACATACAAGTCTTCCGATGCAGTTATATCCCTTGTGTCAAAAACATTCAAGTGTTCCGATGTTGGTGGTGATCTGTCAGAAGTTGAACTGTTGAATTTGGCGGGAATTAATTATGTGACGTAACATAATATGATATATGACGTCATAAATTAGTATTTACGTCATGTCACGAGGTATGTCATGTCATGTCATGTCATGTTTTAGCAACGTTTTTGGAAACGCGTTTGTGTTACATATTGTCAATAACATATGTAGGAATGTTCCAGTAATGTTGTTTTTTTTCAGTAAGGTTACAACATAAGGTTGTTGTAACATTGGTGAGGTGAGGTGAAATTGGGTTTAACGTCGCGTCCAAGATTATTGCACTTATATAGCGACGTGCATGCACTTGTTTGTGTGGCTGCTTGTACTAGTCCGGACTGATGCCGATTTATAGTGCTAGCTCACTGAGATACCATGCCACAGTTTAACATGAATACCCCACTCAGACACAGTATACTGACTCCGAGCCGACCAGTCCTAGTTTTAGCCCCTTTATGCCGAGCGCCAGACAGGGTAACGCGGCCGGGGATCGAACCCTGGACCTTCCGCTCTCCGGGCGGACGCTCTACCACTAGACCACGGGGGCGGCCTGTAACATTGAAAGAAACACGCTGAAGCAACGTTTTCTTTTGGCTCGTATATGCATACCATTCTGTATGCAAATATATATATAGACGGGGAAAAATGTGCAAGTTTGGCAAAATTAATATCAACGGACTAGAGAGGGTTTTTTTTAGATTGAAGAAAAGAACAGTTATGGCTTATGAAAAATATTTACATATCATCTGCAATTGAGCAAAATGCGAATTTTGTTATATTTTTCAAAGTTCTAAATCAAATTACAATTTTAAAAATATAACCATGTACGAGACTTCAACGAGTGTTGACCAGGTTCCAGTGCATTTCATTATTTTTCATATTATAAGTTGAGATATTTTCAATTCTAAATCAAAAATATGAAATCAACTGTAGGTATGTATGGTTGATTTGCCCCTCAGTTTACGCAGTTGGGTTTTAAGATACGCAACGGTTGGCACACACTCGATTATGATTGTGTGACCGACAATCTGAAACTGATTTCTTACGTTAAATGCCCGTTATTGAGAATATATACAACGCTGTAATTTATTGCCAAAATTAGCTTCACTTGTATCTACTGGATTGTCTGGTCCAGACACGATTATCTACAGACCGCCGTCATATAGCTGGAATATTGCTGAGTGCGGCGTTAAACAACAAAACAACCAACCAACAGAAAGGTTTCTATCTGGGCAAAACTCCAACAGCGAGTGAACAACAACAACAACAACAAATATTATTCACTTGTAGTTTCTTCTTTTTTTTCCTGCAGTGGTTTCAAACCATTGTTAAAATGTGTCTTAAAACATATGCAAATAACACTTCACGTTAATCAAAACACTTAAACATTTAAAATAAAAATGTGGCATTTGGAGTTTTGCTAAGGCCAACGACCATTTTGCGCCATTTATTCGTATTATTTCAGATATGTTCCCTGTATTAAGTTTGGACTTTACAGATAAAAGTATAAAATAATAGTGTAGCGCTATGAGCATTCACTTGGTGAATGGAATCTGGCGCATTATAAATGCACTTCTTCTTCTTCTTATTATTATTATTATAAAAAAACCATGAGGTTACGGTTTGTGTTGAATTATATTTATCAAGACAGGGAATCAAAACGTTGAAGAGAGAACTTTCGTTTCCCGTCGACTAATTGTAGAAGTTATCGCCATTAATTTGAAAAAAATTAAAAAACTTACGACAGTGCACAAAATAATAATGAATGATTTGGTACCCAAAAATATCTCATGTTTAAAGGTATACGCGTGTACATGTATATGTATGTGTGTGTGTAGGTATATGTGTTTATTTGTAATACTGTAATATATATATGTGTGTGTGTTATTTTCTCATTACATGTATATAATTCCTATGCACTGTACATATATTCTTCACAATCATAAATCACATATTACCATGTAAAGAAGGCCTCATTAGTGTGTCACTTGTGCCTAATCCATTTGATTTTCCGCATTAAAATATGTTTAAATCAATTGTTGGTCACGTGATCTCGTTTATTCCTTTAAATTCGTAATTGCTTTCATTAATTTGTCGTCTAACGGATAACAATATTCGATGTACACATGCATGCGTATTTCCATGCACTAATATAATGGTTACCTTATACGTTATGTTTGTCCAACGAACACAACTTTCATCATTGGCACAACGTAGGACCAACGTATGGAAGAAATTTGACAGCGGCCACACGTCCATAAACAAGGCCATGCCAATTTCCGATATTTATATGAGTGAGTGAGTGAGGTTTTACGCCGCTTTTAGCAATACTCCAGCAATATCACGGCGGGGGGACACCACAAATGGGCTTCTATCATTGTACCCATGTCGGGAATCGAACCTGGGTCTTCGACGTGACAGGCGAACGCTTTAACCACTAGGCTACCCGACCGCCCCTATTTATATTACAGTTGTGCACATGGATGCAGTGTTGCACGAATGCTTGGGAAATTATCATGTTTCAGACTAATAATTGTGATATTTTACATTATCCACCTTTCTGACATCTTATATGGTATATATCACATGCATGTGGATTCCGCATTACGTCGTTGATTAACATAGGAAACTGGCTATGATGAGCGTGAGTGAGTGAGTGAGTTGGGTTTAACGCCACTTTTAACACTATTCCAGTTATATCGCGGCGTGTCAGCTTAATGTGGGGGGGAAGCCCGAAGTGATGCAGGTCTCAGACGTTTACCACTTCCCAAGGGACGCAACTCTGCACAGCGAATCGCGGCGCCTTAGACGACTGGGCCACCCGTGCCCCCGACTATGATGAGATAAACGTAAATATGTCAGTAAAAGTATTTTGTATTCTATGATTGATTGACTGGGATACAGTAATGGCGCAGTTCAGTTTTCTATAAAAAGATTCGTTCCTGTCTATTTGCGACCTCCATTAATGTATGGCGTACATTTGCGGCGATTTCACGCAATTGGATGGACGAGAAGCGGCTTTAATTCCATCTCCGCCAAACCAGTTCATTTGTATAGGTTGCTGAGTCCCGAATCGCATGCGGGAGTCGCGTCCCCGCCGAGGGTGTCAACCTGCAATAGAATCACAAACATGGAGTTACTTTAAATGAATATACGAAAAAGTACATAGACATGACTACTCATTATTTTCATGACATAGTTTCGGAGCGGGGTGAAAGGTAGCTCTGATTTTATTATTTAGTTTGTGGGGAAATAATCTTC